TTAAAAATCAATAATTATTCCCTAATAATATGTCATCGTCATTAATAATTAATAATTATGAGTAAATATCATCTTATGATCCGTCATATTGTGCCATCATCCGGACTAATGCGTGATAATCCGTCATAATAATTGATAAAACATCTTAGTACGTCGTATTATAACACAATCGTCCGTCAAAATAAATAATAGTAAATACATATTTCCTCATAATTAATCATTATCCGTCATAATAAATAACAATGAGTAAATATTCTCTTATAATCCATCGTATTCCGTCATAATCCGTTGGAGTCCGCCATCATCCGTCATAATCTGTCATCATGTGTCATAAACCGTCATAGTCCATCACCATCCGTCGTAGTCCATCATAATTCGTCAAAATAAATAATCATAAATAAATATTCTCTCATAAATGGTCATCATCCGTGATAATCAGTTAAAAATAAAAATAATAAGTAAGTAAATATTCTGTCATCATCCGTCATCATAATTATTCGCTATGATCTGTCACAACTCGTCCTATGTAGTTTATCATAATCGGTCATCATCCGTCCTAATCCACTATCATCCGTCATAGTCCGTCATAATCTGTCAAAATATAATTATATAATATCTAGTAAATATTCCGTCACCATCCCTCAAAATAATTAAAAATCAATAAATATTCCCTCATAATCAGTTACCATCATTAGCAATTAATAATTATCAGTAAATATCCCCTTATAATCCGTCGTATTCTGCTATCATCCGTAGTAATGCGTCCTAATCTGCCATAACATCAGATAAAGCATTTTAATCTGTCGTAATCTAACGAAATCGTCCGTCAAAATAAATAATAATTAATATATATTTCCTCATAATCCATAATTATCCGTTATAATAAATAACAATGAGTAAATATTTCTTTATAATCCGCCGTATTCCATCATAATCCGTTATAATACGTTATCATCCTTGGTAATTTTGTCATAATCCGTCGTAGTCTATCATCATCTTTCATAATCCGTTATAATTCATCACCATCCGCCATTGTTCATCATAATTCGTCAAAATAAATAATCATAAATAAATAGTCCGTCAAAAACGGTCGTCATCCGTCATAATCCGTCAAAAATAAAAATAATAAATATGTAAATATTCCGCCATCATCCGCCATCATAATCTTCGCTATAAACTGTCACCATACGTGCTAGTCTATCGTAATCCATCATCATCCGTCGTAATCCACCATCATCCGTGATTGTTCGTCACAATGTTGAAAAGATATATCATATTTAAAAAATATTCCGTCATGATCCGTCAAAATAAATAAAAATCAATAAATATTCCCTCATAATCAGTTACCATCATTAGCAATTAATAATTATCAGTAAATATCCCCTTATAATCCGTCGTATTCTGCTATCATCCGTATTAATGCGTCCTAATCTGCCATAACATCAGATAAAGCATTTTAATCTGTCGTAATCTAACGAAATCGTCCGTCAAAATAAATAATAATTAATATATATTTCCTCATAATCCATAATTATCCGTTATAATAAATAACAATGAGTAAATATTTCTTTATAATCCGCCGTATTCCATCATAATCCGTTATACTACGTTATCATCCGTAGTAATTTTGTCATAATCCGTCGTACTCTGTCATCATCCGTCATAACTTGTCATCATCTTTCATAATCCGTTATAATTCATCACCATCCGCCGTTGTCCATTATAATTCGTCAAAATAAATAATCATAAATAAATATTCCGTCAAAAACGGTCATCATCCGTCATAATCCGTTAAAAATAAAAATAATAAATAAGTAAATATTCCGTCATCATCCGTCATCATAATCTTCGCTATAATATGCCACCATACGTGCTAGTCTATTGTTATCCATCATCATCCGTCGTAATCCACCATCATCCGTCACAGTCCGTCATGATCCGTCAAAATAAATAAAAATCAATAAATATTCCCTCATAATCAGTTACCATCATTAGCAATTAATAATTATCAGTAAATATCCCCTTTTAATCCGTCGTATTCTGCCATCATCCGTAGTAATGCGTCCTAATCTGTCATAACATCAGATAAAGCATTTTAATCTGTCGTAATCTAACGAAATCGTCCGTCAAAATAAATAATAATTAATATATATTTCCTCATAATCCATAATTATCCGTTATAATAAATAACAATGAGTAAATATTTCTTTATAATCCGTCGTATTCCGTCATAATCTACGTTATCATCCGTAGTAATTTTGTCATAATCCGTCGTAGTCTGTCATCATCCGTCATAATTTGTCATCATCTTTCATAATCCGTTATAATTCATCACCATTCGCCATTGTCCATTATAATTCGTCAAAATAAATAATCATAAATAAATATTCCGTAAAAAACGGTCATCATCCGTCATAATCCGTTAAAAATAAAAATAATAAATAAGTAAATATTCCGTCATCATCCGTCATCATAATCTTCGCTATAATCTGCCACCATACGTGCTAGTCTACTGTTATCCATCATCATCCGTCGTAATCCATCATCATCCGTCACAGTCCGTCACAATGTGTCAAAAGATATATAATATTTAATAAATATTCCGTCATGATCCGCCAAAAGTTATAAAACTCAATAAATATTCCCTCATAATCAGTTACCATCATTAGCAATTAATAATTATCAGTAAATATCCCCTTATAATCCGTCGTATTCTGATATCATCCGTAGTAATGCGTCCTAATCTGCCATAATATCAGATAAAGAATTTTAATCTGTCGTAATCTAACGAAATCGTCCGTCAAAATAAATAATAATAAATATATATTTCCTGATAATCCATAATTATCCGTTATAATAAATAACAATGAGTAAATATTTCTTTATAATCCGTCGTATTCCGTCATAATCCGTGATAATACGTTATCATCCGTAGTAATTTTGTCATAATCCGTCTTAGTCGGTCATCATCCGTCATAACTTGTCATTATATAGTATGTTCCAAAAAAAATTCCAGATCCGTAGCTGGCTTATTTTTCGATTACAGCATTGTTTATACGTCAAGATTTTTTTTCATTAAGTCACATTTTGTTATAAAGTTGTGTTAAAAATTTGTCTAATTGTTGTGTCAAAACGCATGAAAAGATTGAGGATTTTTCTTAAGAAGTATTTAAATTTGAAAATGAAAATTCTTTTACAGGAAAATTAGAATCCTACATCTACAAACCTTTATTACCAAGTTAAATTATTCATGTTTGAAAAAACTAAAGTATGATACATGAATTAATTCCGAAAAAAATGCTATCAAGAATCTCTAAAAAAAGTTGAATATCAACGACAAACGAACGTTAAAATTTAACTATGAATCTAAGCTAGCAACAATAATAAAAATAACAATGGTTTAATCCTGTAGTCGCTGAAAAATTATAATTCCATATTGTCACACAAATTTGCGACTAGATGAACCGACCCGACTGTAGCATAAAACAAAAAAGCACACAAACAAAGTTTGTTGTGATGCTGAAGCGAATTATACAACTTTTAGTTCGCAATAAAGTTGTGTTTTTTCAGCTCGGTAGGTGTAAATATTTTGCTAAAGCCAGTGACCGGCTTTAGCAAAATATTTCAAAGCTTAACTAAGACAGACAACAATTTTTTGACAGATTCAATCAACATAAACACAGTTAATTAAACTCGCCCGAAATAACGTTAGATTTTTATCAACGCCACGTCCATCAATAAATTCGCTTTACATAGACGAACTCCCACAATACGCTTGAAGTCATAAACGTCAAGTACATTTACTACACTATCAATTGTACTCCGAACATATTGTTTTATTGCGTTTTTCCCTTTTGATCACCAATCGATTGTCAATTTCATTTCCTGTTTGCGCCCCCGCGAGATACAATACATTAATTCACTAAAAACACCGCAAATGTTCCCTAATTAAAATTGACGCGTTGGCGAAATGTGCGCTGATGGTTATTTGTCTAGAATACTTAACTATTTGTTTAATTAAGCGACTAATTAGTATTTACAGACGGGATCTTGTTTCAGCACGTCTTTCAGGAGGGTGAGTCGTTTCGAACCACACAACGTGCATTTTTCGTGTACATCAGAAATGAAACAGTGCGATTTTCAGGAAAGCGCCTCTCCACTGAATTATTTCTCATTGAATTATTACTGCGTTGTAATAGATGGAATTTTACACATCGTTTGTTCGCGGCGATATTAAATTGCATTATTCAAAGTTTGATTAACGTGATGCAGTTGCGATTTTTGTGTGTTTCATTTTGGCGTAAATATTTTACTTTTATTAAATTGTGTTACGCCGAAATGAAATAACAAATAAAAAATTCGTTTGGCAGATTTTATATTTCGAATGGTAAAAAGCAACATTACATCGCTAAAATAAAAAAAATCATCGCACTAAAGCTTTCCAGTTGTAACCGTTCAATATCTCGTTTCAGCTCTAATAAAGTCGTTTCAGCACAAATTTAACTCCAACAATCTTACCGATTTAAAGACAAAGTTCTTAAACGACTGCCTTAGAACCCAACGTTGTTAGCTTTAATGTTTTATTTTTCTCGACAAGACAATTCTTGTTTATTTCCTAGTGCGCCCTACATTGATTTTATTGTTTTGTGATCTCTTGTTTCTGGCTGAAGAGTCTCAATGCGTTTCCTCGTACTGCAACAAGTGATCTAGGATGCACTCTCGAGCCGAGTTTGTTCCTTTTATTTACGATTCTTGAGACAATTCTTGATCTTCTTGACAGAAACGCTATTTTTGGATCCTTGTACTTGGGGTATTTTCAAAGTGCAACTATACGTTATCATCGATCCACCCCACTCAACTTTTCCACACTCGACAGCCCGATAATTGCCTCTCACTTATATAAGAACTCGCTTAATTCTCTCCTGCGGACGTAACATAATTAGGAAATCCGAAACGTCGGTCCACACATAAATCTCACCCCACTTTCTTATCTCTTCCAGAGCCAGCAACGTCTCCGGCGAGAGATCGCCCTTCGATGGATCCTGCTGCGGCTCCGGTTATCACACGGTCGATTCCACCCCCCTGGGATCCCCCGAGGAGATGGAAGTGCCCAAGTATCGCGTCGTCATGCTGGGCGACTCGGGGGTGGGGAAGACGGCGCTCGTGTCCCAGTTTATGACGTCGGAGTACATGAATACTTACGACGCTAGTTTGGGTGAGTCGACAAAGATAAGTAAAAATAAACGCCGGGGATCGGCGGGGTTTATGGGTTGTAACTTATATTTGAGATGGGGGTGGGCGGTGAGGGTTTAAGTGGTAGTTGGGGGTTGTAAACAGTTTGTGGGGTGGTTTATGGGCCTGTGGGATAATGGGGGAAGTAGGCGATGTGGGGGTGACGGGATTGTGAAGAATGGTCTAGATTTTTTTGTTGTGTTTGTTAAAAGTTTGGAATGGTATTTATTTGGCACAACGTGGACAAGTTAAACGAAAAATGCGTTATTTCACAGTTGGAAACGTTTGTATTTTGCAATTTTGGCTATGGAGAAAAATATAGTGGAAAAATGAAACCGTTTAGATCTACCTGAAATTGAGTTTCGGAAGAAAACTTTGATGCAAAATTCATTTCTGGTATTCTTTTCTGTTTGTTGAATATTAATTCGGTTTTTTCGAGTTTACGGTTCACCATTTCAACACTGTTCAAGATTTTAACGTGCCGTTTGTACCGTTCGATTCCTTGTCATTTTTTAGTGAAATTAGGTGATTTTTCGCCCTTGAAAACTGAAAAATTGATAAAATGACAATGTAATTTTTTTGTAGCATTTAAAAAAAAGTAAAAAAAAAAACAGGAAACTCGGAAACTCAATTCTGAGTATGGATTCGTATTCAGAAGGTCAGAATTAGTGAAAAGACCAATTTTCAAGGAGCTGAAATACTAATTAACTGAGATAGGTTGAAATAATTGAAATATGAAATTTTCGCAATATATGGTATGACGAAATATAAGGAGAAAAAATGAAACTCTTACAATTTAGCTGATATGATGTGTTTAGACTAATTTTGCGGTATAGAATTTATTTTTGCGATCTATTGTTGAATATTAATTCATTTTCAATCGAATTTATATTTCAATCCGCATCTCAAAACATATTTTTTGAGTTTACAGGGTTACCATTTGAAAGCCGTTCAAGATCCCAACTTGCCGCTTATACCATTCGATTCCTTGTAGATTTCTAGTCGAATTGTGTGATTTTCCGTCCTAGAAGCTTAGCCGTTTGGCCCTGAGAAATTGATAGAACGAACAATGTCATTTTTTTATAGGTGGCATTAAAAAAAAAATCATAAAAAAATCAAGACGGTTCGTAGGTCAATTCTGAGGTCGAATTCATATTCAGGAGGTTATATTTAGTAAACAGACCAATTTTCAGGGAACTGAAAGCCTAATTAACTGAGATAGGTTAAAATAATTGAAATTTGAAATTTTCGCAATATATGGTATGGCGAAATATAAGGAGAAAAAATGAAACTCGTCCAATATAGCTGATATGATGTCTTTGGACTAATTTTGCGGTATAGAATCCATTTTTGCGGTCTATTGTTGAATATTAATTCATTTTCAATCGAAATTATTTTTCAATCCACATCTCAAAACATATTTTTTGAGTTTACAGGGTTACCATTTCAAAACCGTTCAAGATCCCAACTTGTCGCTTATACCATTCGATTCCTTGTAGATTTCTAGTCAAATTATGTGATTTTCCGCCATAGGAGCTTAGCCGTTTGGCCCTGAGAAATTGAAAAAACGAACAATGTCGTTTTTTTATAGGTGGCACTACAAAAAATCATAAAAAAATCAAGAAGCCTCGTAAGTCAATTCTGAGGTCGACTTCATATTCAGGAGGTTAGAGTTAGTACAAAGACCAATTTTCAAGGAGCTGAAAGACTAATTAACTGAAATAGGTTGAAATAATTGAAATTTGAAATTTTCGCAATATATGGTATGGCGAAATATAATGAGAACTAATGAAACTCGTCCAATATAGCTGATATGATGTGTTTAGACTAATTTTGCGGTATAGAATTAATTTTTGCGGTCTATTGTTGAATATGAATTAATTTTCAATCGAAATTATGTTTCAATCCACATCTCAAAACATATTTTTTGAGTTTACAGGGTTACCATTTCAAAACCGTTCAAGATCCGATCTTGCCGCTTATACCATTCGATTCCTTGTAGATTTCTAGTCGAATTGTGTGATTTTCCGCCCTAGAAGCTTATCCGTTTGGCCCTGAGAAATTGATAAAACGAACAATGTCGTTTTTTTATAGGTGGCATTACACAAATTCATAAAAAAATCAAGAAGCTTCGTAGGTAAATTCTGAGGTACAATTTATATTCAGGAGGTTAGAGTTAGTACAGAAACCAATTTTCAAGAAGCTGAAAGACTAATTAACTGAGATAGGTTGCAATAATTGAACTTTGAAATTTTCATTATATATGGTATGGTGAAATATAAGGAGAAAAAATGAAACTCTTCCAACATAGCTGATATGATGTGTTTAGACTCATTTTGCAGTATAGAATTCATTTTTGGTGTCTATTGTTGAACATTAATTCAATCATTTTCAATCGAAATTATGTTTCAATCCACATCTCAAAACATATTTTTTGAGTTTACAAAGTTATCATTTCAAAGCCGTTCAAGATCCCGACGTGCCCCTTATACCATTCGATTCCTTGTAGATTTCTAATCGAACTTTGTGACTTTCCGCCCTAGAAGCTTAGCCGTTTGGCCCTGAGAAATTGATAAAACGAACAATGTTATTTTTTTATAGGTTACATTAATAAAAACCAAAAAAAAATCACAAAGCTCCATAGCTCAATTCTGAGCTCAGATTCGTATTCAGGAGGTTAAAATTAGTAAAGAAATTAATTTTCAAGGAGCCGAAAGCCTAATTAACTGAAATAATCTTAAATAATTGAAATTTGAAATTTTCTCAATGTATAGTATGGCGAAATATAAAGAGAAAAAATGAGACTCTTCCAATATACCTGATATGAAGTATTTAGACTAACTTTGCGATACAGAATTCATGTTTGCGGTCAATTGTCGAATATTAGCTCGTTTTTAAAGGAAATTATTTTTAAATCTACAACTCAAACATATTTTTCGAGTTTACGGCCTCATCATTTCAAAACTGTTCTAGATCTTGACTTGCCGATTATACCATTCGATTCCTTGTAGTTTTCTAGTGGAACTAGGTGATTTTCCGCCCTAGAAACGTAGCCGTTTGGGCCTGAGAGATTGAGGAAATGAACAATGTCATTTTTTTAAAGGTGACATTAAAAAAAAAACAAAAAAAACAGAGAGCTCCGTAGGTTAATTCTGAGCTTAGATTCGCATTCAGGAGGTTAGAGTTAGTAAAGAGATCAATTTTCAAGGAGTCGAAAGCCTAATTAACTGAAATAATCTTAAGTAATTGAAATTTGAAATTTTCTCAATGTATAGTATGGCGAAATATACAGAGAAAAAATGAGACTCTTCCAATATACCTGATATGAAGTATTTAAACTAATTTTGCGATACAGAATTCATTTTTGCGGTCAACTGTCGAATATTAACTCGTTTTTAATGGAAATTATTTTTAAATCTACCACTCAAACATATTTTTCGAGTTTACAGCCTCATCATTTCAAAACTGTTCTAGATTTTGACTTGCCGATTATACCATTCGATTCCTTGTAGTGTTTTTAGTTGAACTAGCCGACTTTCCACCCTAAAAACTTAGCCGTTTGGGCCTGAGAAATTGATAAAACGAACAATATAATTTTTCTATAGATGATATAAAAAAAAAATTAAAAACATTAGAAAACTCTGTAAGTCAATTCTGAGCTCACATTCGTATTCAGGAGGTTTAAATTAGTAAAGAAAACAATTTTCAAAGCACCGAAAGCCTAATTACCTGAAATAATCTTAAATAATTGAAATTTGAAATTTTCTCAATGTATAGTATGGCGAAATATAAAGAGAAAAAATGAGACACTACCAATATACCTGATATGAAGTATTTAGACTAATTTTGCGATACGGAATTCATGTTTGCGGTCAATTGTCGAATATTAACTCGTTTTTAATGGAAATTATTTTTAAATCTACCAGTCAAACATATTTTTCGAGTTTACAGCCTCATCATTTCAAAACTGTTCTAGATTTTGACTTGCCGATTATACCATTCGATTCCTTGTAGTGTTTTTAGTGGAACTAGGCGACTTTCCACCCTAGATACTTAGCCGTTTGGGCCTGAGAAATTGATAAAACGAACAATATAATTTTTCTATAGATGATATAAAAAAAAATTAAAAAAATTAGAAAACTCTGTAAGTCAATTCTGAGCTCACATTCGTATTCAGGAGGTTTAAATTAGTAAAGAAAACAATTTTCAAAGCACTGAAAGCCTAATTACCTGAAATAATCTTAAATAATTGAAATTTGAAATTTTCTCAATGTATAGTATGGCGAAATATAAAGAGAAAAAATGAGACTCTTCCAATATACCTGATATAAAGTATTTAGACTAATTTTGCGATACGGAATTCATGTTTGCGGTCAATTGTCGAATATTAACTCGTTTTTAATGGAAATTATTTTTAAATCTACCACTCAAACATATTTTTCAAGTTTACAGCCTCATCATTTCAAAACTGTTCTAGATTTTGACTTGCCGATTATACCATTCGATTCCTTGTAGTGTTTTTAGTTGAACTAGCCGACTTTCCACCCTAAAAACTTAGCCGTTTGGGCCTGAAAAATTGATGAAACAAACAATGTAATTTTTCTATAGATGACTTAAAAAAACTAAAAAAAAATAAAAAAACTCTGTAAGTCAATTCTGAGCTCAGATTCGTATTCAGGAGATTCGAATTAGTAAATAAACCAATTTTAAAAAAGCTGAAAGCTTAATTAACCGAAAAAATTTTAAATCATTGAAATTTGAAATTTTCACAATACAATGGTATGACGAAATATAAGTCGAAAAAATTAAACTCTTCCAATATAGTTGATATGACGTATTTAGACTAATTTTGCGGTACAGAATTCATTTTTGCGGTCAATTGTCAAAATTAACTCGTTTTTATGGAAATTATGTTTAAATCTACATCTCAAACATATTTTTCGAGTTTACAGCCTCACCATTTCAAAACAGTTCAAAATTTCG